ACCAGGGGTGAGGAGGGAGGGGGGGCAACACTGCAAAAAAAAAAAAAAAAGTACTGACTCTTGCCACTTTAGTTTTGTGTATTTCACTGTACATGAATTATATTTTAATAAAATGCATTTTCAAAAAAAAGAAAGGAAAAAAAAGTGTTCACCTAATATTTTATTTAGTCTTGAAAAGTTATTGTAAAAGCTTTTTCTGTTAGTATTTTAAACTGAATGTGTAAAGCTTCTAGTAATTAAGCCCAATCCCACATGCCAATAACCTAAAATCCACACATACATTTTAATGAAAAATGAAAATAAATTAATGGAAAAAATATTTTAGTTATTTTATTGACACATTTCTGAAATCTTTCACTTCAAAAATTAATGATTATTTAAAATAGGTAATATATCTTTCTTCCCACATGTAAAAATATTTTCTTTAAAAACATATACCTCTTTCCTTGTTTACTTTGTTCAAGTAAGTCCACCTTCAACTTTATGCATTCCTCTTGGAACTTCTGTAAACTCTGTTCCTTTTCAATCACCATTTTCTGGCTCTGCTCTAATTTATCTTCTGCTTCTCTATAAAATAAAGAATATTTTAAGAGGCTATTAAAAAAATTACTCCAGGTACACAAAATAAATCAATGAGTTAAAAGAAACAAGTACATAATGATAATAGAGAAAAAGTGTCATATTCGTAATTTAGTCAACTAAGAGTTTTTATATGGAACAAAAGACTATTTTCATGAAATGATAAATATATTTGAAGCAACAGTTCACATCATATTTCATAGTCAGATACAAGACGCATTGCAATGCAGTTGAGAAACTTGAAAAGAATGACTGTTACCACCACTATACCCTACAACTAGTCTGACAATTCTACTCAATGCAAAAAGGTAAAAACAGAAGTATAAATGTTAGAAAGACAAAACATTATTTACTGATAGTATCACAATCTACTTGGAAATCCCAAGAAAATCAAAATGAAATATTATTAGAATAAAAGAATGACAAATAGTCCAACTAAAAAATAATTGTATTATACAAAAACCAGTAGCCTTCCTATACACTAGTAATAAACAGAATGGGAAAATTGACAACAATGAAAAACATGAAATATTAGGAATAAACTTAAAATGATATATGCATTACAAAGAAAATTACAAAACTCTGATGGACATGAAAGACAACCTTAGCATGCATCAGAATCATACTTCTTAAAACACAGATTGCTGGATCTTGTTCCTCAGCTTTTCTAATTCAGTAAATCTGAAATGGGATGTGAAAATATGCATTTCTAACAGGTTCCCAGATGATGCTGATGCTGTTGGTCCTTTGAGAATCACTCAAATAGAGTAATATCCTATTTAGTATACATCTACTTTCCATTTTATTCAAAGCAGAAGATGAGGATAAATTATAAAGTGTTTTGATTCCTTATATTTTATTTCTTGAATGCCTACTGAAGCACTGAGTATGTATTGCAACGTAGAGTTGAGAAAATTAACTAATTCAATTTTACTAAAAGCATGTAAATACATTCAGTATCTTTTAGCCCCATAAAGTGCATGCAACCTGCAATGAAAAGGAGTTAAGATGGACCAAAACCAGTACTTCAGGTAAGTCAAATTCAACAAATTCTAAGACAACTAGACACTATTAGACCACTACAGATTTATTAGGGTGGTGTAGGGAACAAAGTTTATCAAAATATAACAAAAA